TGAGTTTATAGGTTCTGGTTCTGACCTAATTTCTTCCATTTTGAGATAATTTGGCGCACTGCTTACCATTTTATGGACTTCAAGAATGATGAATAAATGACGCCCACCTACAGTCCTCCATAATGCTCACTTAAACTTGATTGACTGGCATGTTAGACATTCACTTCGATCAACCCAATGTTCGACTGCTTCCTGCTGTTCTAGGTGAATCATCTGTCGAGGCCCCAATGTGTAGTCTTTTACCACATCGGGGCCGCTGAATAGAATTTGGCCCGTTTACGTCACTCATATACCAAAGAAGACAAGTAGAAGACCAGAGACGGCAGACACGACCCTTTGCCAGATAGCTCACACCAGCTGTGTTGCAAGTGCATGCCAAATGTAGTTGTTGGTCAATAGCACGAGTAAACTAGATAGCGTATAAATAACTGAATAGATCTGAATCAATTCGATTCACCACACATCCTCCACTTTTAATTCATTACATTGTTTCAATACATATTCTATAGGTCTCTCGAACGAAATATGAGGCTCCGATCTTTACTGCTTCGGCTGATAGTCGTGTTTGTGGCTAACTAATCAGTCAAGTTCTTTTGACTTTCCCCTATGTGTGTGAGAAGGCTGCCGACGGTTTTATGGAGTACCGTAAGTTATGCGAATGGTGAAATGTCGATGCCGATATCGTCATCAAGAGAAACAGACCGTTTTGCAATGGATGATCCTCTATAATGCATTTGTAAATACCCCCCTGACAGGCTTTTCTATTAGCAGCATCACAATGGTCCGACTACAGGAAGAAAGCACCAAACTATCAACATTACTACCTCGGCCGACGATACCATACAAGAAGTCAGCACGAATCCCAGTTTTTCATAACTAAAAGAAGTGGCCAGAAGGCACAGACAACCACTTGAATTTGTTGATTCACGTCCATAAATCCGATTTTCTCTCGTTCAGATACGCCACCCTCCCCTTTTCTCGGCGGCCCTATCGATTGTGCAGAAACGTCTGTTCACACACCCCTGTTCTACTCGTTTCCCTCATCCACCCACTCGGCCATTTGTACTTTTACGAGTTCACCCAGACTGGACTCATCAACAGCCCCTATTTTTCAGACGTGACCACTTTACTTACAGAGCGCAAAACACAACTGGGTTGAACCGTGCAGTGAAGGGTCGAGTCTCCACCATCTCCGGTCTTCGGAGTCTACTCAGGTATCCATGTCGAGTAAGCGGGTCAATGCAATGCGGCAGTCCCGGTGTGGAGTTCGACACTACACCCCCGGACCTACAACCAATTTAAATGGAATTCGAAGTTCAAATTATAAACAAATTGTACTCCGAATTTAAATGGTTGAGTTGTGACTTGCAAGAAATTCGGCAGTCAGTAGGATTCGCCTGTTATTGTTCAACGACGAATATGAGAAATGCGAATGGCTTGAAGATGTTATTTTTTGAGCATTGGCGTTCACATATGTTCACATACACAAGCCTGTTCGGATATCAACTGTCAGCTTCTGAACCCAAATCCTGAGTGTCTAACCTTGACTTACAGTTATTTGGGAGACTCCTGGTAAAACGCTTGTCAGTCATCCTTCTAACCTCCAACACTGCTATTAAACTGATACCCCCAAGGAGTGATCTGGAATTGACTAGAATACTTTACTTAGAATGTGCTGGTGACAACAAGAATTTTAAAAGCAATCGAGTCAACTTTTTTGCAGAAATGGAGGGGCGTTATCTAGCTACATTCGATTTTTATAAATCATCGAAATCTCATTGTTTGTGATCTATCTGGTGCTTTAGGTATGAAATGCGATATAATTTTAGCGGCTTTAAGTCATGTGGATGAAAGTGAGCTTGTATACCTTAATTCTATATTACAAATGTCTCTTTGTTACGGAATCAATCAAAATGTGCTGGATGTTATATCAAAAATCGGATGCTCAATAGAGTCTTAGAGTATCTTTAATGTACTTTTTACGATACTAACAAAAATAGGAAGAAAAGCGTTAGGAAGGCCACTTAACTGCTTTTACTATCTTAACTGCGATTATTGACTGGAGAAACAATCGAAAACCCAAGGAATGTATTTATGTCAGTGAGTCTGGCGATTTAAATGACACTGTTAACCCTCTGGCAATCTAGGGCATACTGGGATTTGTCTCCTGAAGTACAGTCATTTAGCCCGAAAATTTCCTACTTCTCAAATTCAGCAAAATCAGAAAGGTGCCAACATAAAGACAGAATCGAGATAAATGTGAGATGGAAAATCCTTCTAGCTCATCTAGTTTTAAATTATCTCATTCCATCAATCAAGATCTTTTGTCTAAGTCAGACAGTTTCACTAAACGACAAATTGAGATCTAGTATTTGGTTTTTGCAAGTAAACGATTAGAATCGGCTCTGCTTAAAACTACTCAAAATATATTTCTAGTGAACAAGATATTTAAAACATGAAATTGGTCGTAGTGCGCGTGAATGATAATCATGTTGCTGGTTCGTTAAATCGCCTTTACTGACTGAATTTTGCACTCGCGTGGTTAAAGGATTTAGAAGGCTTAAAAATTATGATCTGTATATCGATGTAGATCGGTTATGACCAGTTCTCTTGGGTGAATTGAGCTTGAATGAGTCCCTAACATTACAACTTGTTTGATGCTGTTAGTATCTAGTGAATGGTCATTTAGTCAAAAATTAGTTGAAATTATCTGCTTCAAAGTTTAGTGAAGATTCAGTTAATTGAGAAGTGTTCTTGAAAGATTCACGATCAAGTAATAGTCCAGGGTTGATATGTTGGTTTTTCTGCACATAGTTTTACTGTTGACTATTCCTTACAAAACACATTATATCTAGAATTCAGTCGTAACTCATACAGAGTAGAACACGCTATGGTGAAATGAAAGGCCATTGTACTGTGGAATTGGCCACAATATTTTTGATTTGGTTTCGTTTTCATAGCCTTAGAGGACAATATGACTAAAAATGAGTTTTTTACATTAACTCATTCCCGAAAGATCAAAACCACAAACTAGGAGCTCACTTAACCAAGATTTCTCTGTGCTGTCTACTTTTGGTCTTATTAATAGGAAACGGATGTAGCTTTGGGTGGGCCTTGCAATTGAATCAAGCCCATAACCAGTCCTCGTGGTTGGTACATGTGCACGATCTAGGTCATCTGGAAGCAACTCCAGCCAAATCGCTTGCAAACGATGATTAGGACAGTTGAGAATCTTCCACCTGTCATTGACATGATTATTAAAGACAGATCTCTCACATTTTATTGAATGATCTTTGAAAAATCAACCATTAAACTAAAATCTTAAAGTAGTCGACCCACTGTGATGTGTACGCTTCACAATCCAAATCCGTGGTCTCCGCCTGTCTTGATTGCAGACTTGAAGTTTCCTTTGGGTTTGAATAATCGTTTCAAAAAATATAAACCGTACAGAGAAAAAAGAACAATGAGAAAATAAGGCGAAAAATGATCAGCAAATTTATTAGCTTAAGACACTGCAGCTGTTCATTCGCTTCAGTACGTGATCATGTGAGCAGAATCATCAAATGAACCAGGAATCATCAATCTTTTTCAGTGTCTTGGTGTATTTTAATACTCAAATTTTAATTCCACCTACACTTACATAGTCGCCTCTTTGTCCACCACCTTATAAGTACAACGCACAAGCTTCGTTATTGTGGGTGAACTAGCTTATTGGTAAGGGAACTAATCATAATTAAAAAATTCCATTCTTCCTTTAATGGTTTCCTAGGTCGTCTTCATGAAATTACTAAGCTACATGATTATAAGTTAAGGTCATTGAGAGATTTCTCACTTTTCCAAGTTCTGTTACAATCCCGAAGGATGAAATTGTCTATTTTGTTGAAGATCTAGGAATGATTTACATTAACAGTACAATTGTGAAAAGAAATCACTTGCAATCAACTCTAGTACTTTAGAATTACTACATTTCATTGAAACGCGCCTTCATGAATGATACCAAGGGAAACAATAATCTCTCCATTTAAATGTTGCTTAAGTACCAACCATTTCTGTGCACCGCAGAGTAACTCCCCGTGAAGAAAAATTGTTTGCTTAAAGTTAATGAATCAACGACCGAAGTTTGCGCTAAAAGCAGGACCGTGTGGTTATGCGATTGGTGGGAAAAAAGTATGCGACAGAATTGACGATTCTTTGCAAAGTAAGGGATAGTGCGATTTACTCTAGTCACCTTTTATTCAGGTTAAGTATTTGTTTTCATACTTCCCAGCCTGAATGATTTAAAGGAAATTTGTAGACAACTTTGTGGTCAATCTAGGGTTTTTATAACAGCCATCCAGCAATTTTGAGATTTAGGAAATCACATTTATATAGCGGTCGGAATGCTAACAATATTGCATGACAAAAGTAACAATGTATATATCATTTGATAGTCCGATAAAATTCTGGGTTAAATTTGAAATGAGTATTTAATGACAAAGAGGGAAGAGACCTAGCTTCCCATATAAAATTTTGTTATCAAATTCGAATGTAAACGTATGATCTGAAACAAGGTCTTTTGGTTTGAAAACCGTGATCCCGAACTTATTGTTCTTGAACCCACTGACCAGAAATATCGTAAAAAATAGGGGAGACGTAGTGACAAAATTGACCTTAGATGCTTCGCTTCCAATAATTCAGTCACAATAAAAGAATTTTAAAAACCCATTCAGAAACTGATTTGGAAAATATGGCAACAGTCATTTCAAATGTAGATGTCTTAAAATGAGACCTAAATCACGTGTCGTGATTGAGGCGTTAGTTCCTGATATTCTACCTCAAAATCATGCAAATTTATCCACCAATCAGAAGAGGCGAATTTACTCTAGAGCCCACCTATGGCTCTTAGGTCTAATAAATAGAGGGTGCGCACACATGCACAGCTACTGGTAAATGCGCACAAAAGGAAACACCGGCTGTCAGAGTGCATTATTATTCTATTTTCCCATTTATAGTTGGGAAGAATGAGTCGGAGCATTTCCCCAGAACGTTTTTCCGACAACACAAGGTTTCGGAAGTATAGTGATTTCCTTTTGCCGAGGTCAATTTCTCACTCGGTCGGCCGAGAACATCGGAAGTTGTATCCGTTTGATGTGACCTGCTCCTCCGCTCGCAGTCCTCGAGTGACACCAGACTCTGTGCAATTTCCACTAAATCCACCAGCATCACAATCACTGGGAGCTGAAGCCAGTCCTCATCAAAGCGAACGAAGACCAGCCACAGACAGACTTTCAAGTTCCAACGTTAATCCTTGGAGGAAGTTACGGAATGCGCTTTTGGTTACATCGTCGGCTGTGTCGTCTATTCGAAGGAACAGGGCCTCTCGGCAGAGCAATAGCGCCTTCTTAGACTACTTTTCTCCTCAAAAACATCCTAGAGAGAACTGCTATTTTCACTACACCAATGACCACCAAATCGTTGATCAGTCTACTCCAAATAGCGGAACCGAAAATCGGTTCTCGTTTGAGGGGTTTACTAAACTCACGGAACCATCAGCATCCCCTGAAGAAGGAGAAGAAATCCAGCAAAGGAGTCCTTCTGATTCTGTTAGCCCTTTTCCTGAGATTAATAAATGTGACGCGGAATCACAGTCTCAAGTTCTAATTCCCGGGAAGAGCCTTAATAAATCACTCCAGAAAACCGCCTCTTCATCTCAAAGTGTATCGATTCCATTGGAGGAATGGAGCGACCTTAAGGTCGACGGCACTTCACAGGGAATAACGTCGGAGTCGAGGGTTAAAAGTCGGTATCTTAATCACACACGTCGATTCTGTTCACACTTAACCCGACACTTTCGTCATGCAAGATCAGCCGACAGTTGTTATGCCAACGCCTCATTTGAAAGGCAACGGCCCTTTGAGCAGTTAAAGCCTGTCAAGTTTTTTTGCAATCCGCAGGGGAGGTTTATGTTTGTATGGCTGGGAATTGTGGCGCTGGCTACAGTGTATAACTTCTGGACGGCGATAATGCGCCAGGCATTTCATGAAATACAGCATGGTAGGACAGCGTTGTGGATAAGTTTGGACGGAATAGCAGATCTCATTTACCTAGCCGATATTATGGTCCAACTCAGAACAAGCTACCTGGAAAAGGGATTAGTTGTCAGAGATGCCCGCAAAATTGCAACTCGCTACCTCTGGTCAAGAAGATTTGCATGTGATGGCCTTGCACTCCTGCCCTTTGACCTTTTCCAGTCAATTACAGGCATTCAGCCCCTGCTTAGATTCCCTCGTTTCCTAAAGTGTTTTCGTGCCTGGCATTGGAAGGTCATGGTTGAAAATCGGACCACATACCCAAATGCCTGGCGTGTACTAACACTGACGCATGTTTTATTTCTTGGATGCCATTGGTTTGCTTCCATCTATTACATGTTGTCAGTGAGCGGTCATTTCAAGGATCCCTGGGGCTATCCACCGCCCACAACACCGGAGTTGCAATCCTTACTGAGAAAATACCTTCAGTCCTTTTATTGGGCTACCGTGACTCTGACGACAATTGGGGACATTTCTGAACCATCACAAACATTCCAGTAAGTTTAGATTGCCTTAACCTTGTTTATACTTTTATGACACAAAAAGGCTAAGGCAGCTGCTAGAACATAGCTTCATCAGACGGACAAATAATACCTACGGAGGATCAAAAGTTAAGCGATTTTTGTGTTTCTTATGCGAAGTCCCACAAGTTAAGGCAGTTTTTGTCTAAAATGGAAAGACATGTGGTTGTCTTAAAATTTGCTAAAATACTTGGGCTAACCATTGACATTTATAGCATGGACCGACATTAAAATGTAGCAATGTAGTACCTGTATTGAACTTATAAGGAGCAGTGTATGGAAAATATAAAACAAAGTGGCTGATTTGCTGGAATTTTGTCATAATTGAGCTAAAAGATTTCAAATATGAAAGATTAAATGCTGTTTATGTTATCGAATTAAATCCTGTAATGACCCTAATGCCATCTAACAGCTTAGTTTATTCAATAATAATTAATAACATTTTTGTAAGTTGCTAAAATTTCCGTTTACTATTTTGTATCAATGAAAAAACGAAGCATTTGTTTCTGCTTTAAGCCACCAACTGTTTTGACTCCTCTTTATCGTGACCACAAATGCCGAAGCCTCAGTGTAATCAAAAACGATCTTACAATATCAGAGAAGTCAGATCATTTATCATTATTTAATGTTAGTTTGTGAAACGATTTCTTGTTTAGAGCGAATACAAATCTCTTTTAATGGACTTGCATAACTACTCAGGTCATTGAAAATTTCCTCCTTATCATTTTCACTAAACCGCGCCAAGTAAAAGACAAAACCGATAACATATCAATTCATTAGAAGCTTGAACATACTTAAGAGTAATCACTACTTCGGGAATTCATAAAGCAAACCTATCAGGGAAATTTGTGGGATAAAAATGCGAATTTCTAACATGTTTGATTTGCCGTTCTCTCTATGCCGGTTTGAAAAATAGGGTCGAGGAGCTTAATGCGTAAGACATGTAGAGCTGTGGCACTATTATTGAGTTACGGACCAAGCTATGGTTTGCGAAGTGTACGTTACCGACTAGTGAAATGGGGACACTCAGTATTTCATTTCATCGACCTAGTTCTTACAATGTAGGGTCATTGATCAAAAGAATCCAAAGAAGGATAGTTGACAAATGCTCTTTTTCAATAAATATAATACCATAATTCCAAAAATTTATCAAAAATTGACTTTGAAGAATCATTCCATATATCCTGTCCGAAATAATGGTAAGAGGTTAGAAGTACTTCTATATACACACCCATGTGCGTAAATAGATTTATTCTCAAACTTAAAAAGTTATTTATCACTGCACGAAAATTTTACACCGCGGGTATTTTATGTGGTGCCTGAACACACATTTTTCTCAGTCTCCTGAGCACATTAATGAACCTGCATTAAACTTGGTTAGTGTTTGTTTAATTAGGGTCATAACTTCTTTTGTTACTGGTGCGAAACATTTTGCAATGCAGTAGTGCTGGTTCAAGCATGTCGTCAACTTGTTTAAACAAAGTTCCACAAGTGTAGGTCGAACACAAAAACACTTTGTACAGTCTCGATAGAACGCAGGCGAATAAATACACCTTGGCCTCTGGAATTGCTCATTGAGGCTCCGAAATGTGGTTTTGAGAGTGTATAGCCCTCAATAATATAGCAAATGTGGGAAAATTTGCTCAGAAAAGTATCTGAAATTGGTGGCTGCATTGTAAGTAGTTTTTAGCTTACTTAAATCAAAGTTGGAAGGATATTCCCAATAAAAGGAAACTTTTTGTTTGGATCTGAACCAAATTTGTAGTCAGATGAGAATGAAAAGTAAATGAAACTTGGGAGTCATTATGAAGAATTTAGACTGTTTGAATGCGTTTGAAACAGTTGTTTGAGATGGGGTTTAATGATTTAAGGGGAACAAAGGAAGAATCGAAGGCTCTTACAAATGCTAAAACTGGTCACAGTAATTTATAAGGAAACAATCATAGGGCTTAATTAGTAAAATTCGAAAATTAGGAAAACTACTTAGGTAACCTTGCTATCCAATCGGATTTAGCTCAAAACGGTGAATAATGACATTTGATGATCGAATCCAGCTTTAATCCTCTTACTATCCAATTTAGTTAATGCTGCATGCTTACTGGAGGAAGTTCAAAGGCTTTCATTTTGTAAAGTTGTCGATTAAAACAACACTGACTCCTGATGAGGTTTTCAAAATACCTCTCTAATTAGCTTCCGTCAACACTCCATTTGTTGTAAAGCTCATGAAATTGCGCGCTTGGAAAATGCAAGGGAACAAAGTATTCATTGACTGCATTAACTTTGGTTTTGCTAAATTTTCTTCAACAAGTGACCGACCAATCGCCACGTTTCCTTGCGGAATCTAAATACGACAGACGCCGATGGGTCTGTCATTTGTGAAGGTGATAACTCGGCGTCAACATCGATAATGGGCGCAAACAATAACAAACCCTTCTTTCACTTTTGCTCGCATTTATTTCAAGCTATTAAACAGAAACATTTTTAGTTTGCAACATTCCACTTTTAAATATAGTTAAAGTTATCTTAGCTGGTGGATTGTGGTAGTCATTTTCAAGACTTTAATATGCTTCTATAAATAATTTATAGAGCGAAAGACGCTTATTAATCACAGTAGAAGTCACGAGTGTACGGCACTTGGGTCTAAGCCGTGCCATTGGTAAACCTCAGTTCAAGTAAACTCACACTTCTGTGGCTCCCAAAGATGCCTTCCAATTATATTAAATATCTCCTTTTAAGAAAGTGTCTGTAATGGAAACGAAAAGCCTGGTTCTTTCAACTGGATCTGTTTTGTTGTATATCTCAACAGTAAAATCTGAAATTATATGACAACTTTAAAAACGTAGCCTGCTGCTTCATGTAAAAAAGTGAGTGCTGAATCAGGAAATCTACGGCCCTCTTATAAAGAGTGCAAAAGTGAATACGGAAGTAATCAGCAGTTGACATAATTAAGATGTAACTATTAGTTGCTAAAGCGCCTTTTAAAACCTTCAAGTTTTTTCCCTTTTTTTACAGTTTTAATTTATTTCTTTAGGATTTAAGCATACGATGAGTTAAAATTTATTGGATATTCAAAATAATATACTCCCAATAATAAACGTTTATCATTGCATTTTATAACCAAATGCTCATCACACAAGAGTAACATGGAGCACAATTAGAGAAAGTTTTCAAATTTCCAACCGAATTTTCAACAAACTTTAACAAATTCATGGTTACTTTTGTGGTAAAAGTGCTCTCCAATTTCATAATAGATCTTTGTGCGAACCTGTGAACTAGACTGGTTACCATGTTAACTAAGTAATAAAAGCTGTTGGCTTATTCCATCAAGACCCTGATGAGATTAAAATGTCGTCAGGTGTTTGGTTGAGCAGCGTTAAATAGTAGGACGCATTGGGCTTGTAAAAACGTCAATTTTTTCCTATTTCTTGTAGTCCTGATTTTATCTCTTTTGAACTGGAAGAACTTTTTATGCAGGCGTTGAGTTCTTTTCTACGACTTGGGCCAAAAAGTTTACCGTGATGTTTTGGGTTTGCATCTAAATCACGATGTGCTTGGTTCATAAATGCTGATCCAGCTGAAGTGCAGTGTGCGGAAACAGACCAGAACAGAAAATAACGTACATATGGGGTCAATAACAAATAGGACCTGCGGCATTTAAAACGTTTGGTGTTTAGCTCACCATAATATGATTTTTTATTCCCTGTGTTAAATGACGAGTTGAGTGTTTTCCTGCAAGTAATGCATTCAAACTGGAGAGATTCGATTGGCAGACAACTTTCGGAGATAGCCTAAAGAAGTTACTGGAGTTTCAGCAGAACATAAGTTATAAGTGTAGGCTTTAACACGCTGGGCTGGTTTAGGCCCAGAGTAAAGTAAAAATGGAAAATGAATTATGCTTGCAAGCCATTTTAATGTGAATATTCAAGTCTTAGGAAAACCTGTTAGTCAAATTTGTGCTTGTGTTTTTTTTTTGATTTGCTTATTTGTACATAAGGTGGATACAAGTTATTCGCCCCGAAAAGTAGGCTTCTTGTGAACCTGAAGAGATGTACAGACGCACATTTAATGATTTTATTAAAGCGTGGTAAGTGTTGAACACTACCTTTCAGTATTGGTGATTTTTATTTTTGGCAAAGTAAGTTAATGTAGGTTGTACGCTGAGCACTGTAGAACGTTTAGAACCCATTAGTGGCAAGATAAGTTAATGCGGCCTTGTCAATCACAAACGGCGGTTGCATCAAATCACTAAATTTATCCAACAATAAAGGCCAAATCAATTTTTTTGAAAAACAGGAAACTTAAGTGCAAACAAATCGCCTTCCCAAAAGTTGCTAGCTTTAATTCAAAGTTAGTGACTTCGGACTGATAGCCAAAGTATCAAATTGTTTTCCATAAAGTATCAGATAGACTTGAGAATGTTGCATCTACAGAACTTTGGGTGCATTACATCCCTAAACGTGGCCAATAACAAAAGAGAAAAACTTATTGCTTAGTGAAAAAACGCAGATTAGTTCTCAGCAAAACTGGTAAAGCAAAGTCTTTCCTAACAACAGACGAAATCTTCACGGAAAATGGTATTTTGTGATGACAGAATTAGTGAGAAAATCAAAATTCAATTCCCATTTCATGATAATTGCGTCCATATCAATGCCAGGAACAATTTGATTGATTCGATTGCATGACTTGTCACCTCGTTTTTCAAGTCAGTTTATGAAGATGCAAGTCTGTTTTGTTAAATATTTTCAAACGGCAATTTTTTCAAGACGACAACATTCTTAAATGAAAAGGAACGGACTTCAGTGTGAGTGCATATTCAGGACTGTGCCTCATGCTTTTTTATACAAAGAGCAGGAAGTGCTATATTTTTCATGAAGGTCCAACACTTTTTGACACCTTTATGACAGGCCTTTTATTACACTCAAACACATTTATTCCTACGAAACACTCAACTGCAACATTTGGTTCAAAGAAATTCTACGT